TAGCGGGTTCATGAACTGTGCAACCACTCGAGAACAGGACTGTCATCCATCTACTACATACTCACTAGGAATTGTCACGCTGCCTTCCTGTTCTCGTGGGTTCCTACGGCAAAATGCGCATAGGCTGAGTGTTCTGCCGCCTCGCAACCAACGGCAGTTGGGACTGCTATGGTACACATCTCCACAAGGATGGACCGTGATCATCCTTTCAAGGTTGGCTACCCACCTACGTTCGTGCTCTCGCGCAGAACTTGACAAGATGGCATTCTGTTGCCGTTCGAACCTAAGGTCGTTCTCCATTGCCACACTCAGTTCTTCTTGTCCCTGAAGACGTCTCTCCAAGCTGTCCTTTTGGTCGTGCAGCTGGTCATTCGTCTCATACAGTTTGTAGACTATATGAGGATGTTCACTTTCATCTGTCTGCGCTGCACGTCCTTGGCTTTCAACCATTGGGCTTGTGTGGTCTTTCATCAACCACTTGAGGATCATCCACATCCCCGCAGCCACGCTCAAGGCTCCGATGACATTCAGGACGAACATACTGAGCATGGCATAGTCCAACCATGAGGTTTCTGACCTTGCCATCGGCCCCTGCAATCATAATGATCATCATGATCAGGGCCAACTTCATATCATCGCGGCCTTTTGTCATCAGCCGACCCGCTTTCTTCTGCATCTTCATCTTCATTTCCGTTTCTTTGTACTCGTCATAGCCGATCTCGATGTCATACTCATCGACCAAGCGCAAAATGTGGGCCAATGCTTTGAGTCGGAACTGGCTCAACCTTTTGTGCCAATGTCAGCAGGATTGAGCAAAGTCGGGATTGCTGTGATCTCTAGCTTCCCACTGGCCACCTTTTCTTGAATCCACATCATGCCACTGTCGATGTGGCGGACACGTCCAACACCCTGTCGTGCAGTCATAGAACGCGCTGCCGACGAGTCGCTCCTGGCTTTGACCATGGTGGTATCACCTGTCATGAACCCAACCACGTGCTTCACGAACAAGGCCTCTGAACATCCACCAACAATAGCAGTGAACTCTGCTTCACCACTTGAGAGTGCGATGCCCTTTTTGGCTTCGAACCTTGCTCTCAAGCAGACATCCATCAAGGAAGATGTGAAAACACGTCAAGCTCTTTCGACTGCTTTTGCAACCTGCTAGGTCCGCGTCCGTGGTCACTTCGATGAGGTGGTAGTCCTGGGACTCGATCTCGTCAATGTCCCTGCGGTCTAGGATTGACATGCCTTTCTTGGTTCGTCTCAACTTGATCCCATAGTTGGCTGTTCCATTGAGGTAGCTTGTGAGGTGTGTCACATGTTTCGCTTGTGAACTCATAGGCTTGCTCATCATACGTGCCAACATGTGAAGAGCGTATTGCGCATCCGGTCTCTCACCACTAATATACATCATCTTGCCAACACAGCTTCTGAAGCGAGTGCAATCTGCGTTGCTGAGCTCATAGCCGTGTGCAATGCTGTTGATGTCGGTGGAACAAGGACTGCTCTTCGCTTTCTTCTTTCCTATCTCACATGCCTCAGCCAGCTCTTCAATGTGTCGAGGGTCTGGGCGCACCACAATGCCATCACTTGTGATGTTGTACTTTCTCTTCAAATACATGTATTTGGCCCCCTGCAGGCCATCAGGGTCATATGTGGCGATCACCTGAAAAAAAAGCCTGCCACGCGCACCGAGAAAAGTGGTTGCGGTTAGCCTCCCAGCAGTCCCCGGTCTGGGTGGCTGCAGCGGTTTTCTGGAGAGCGTTCTGGTAGACGCATGCCGCGCGCCACCTGCCAAAAAGAATGTTGCCAGTGATCCTAGCCTCGTCAATGTCAATATATATATATATTATTATCATCGGACCAGCGCCCAAGATGTTTCTTCTTCGCCTCCTGGCTGAGATCTTTCTCACAATTCGCACACCTGCCAAAAACAAAAGAGGCCCGTCGCAGGGATGCAGGCTTGCGTCGCAGGGATGCAGGAGACAGATCCGGGAATCGAGGAGGATGCCATGATGAGCCTCGGCAATGAATAAGCGCCGGTTGGATCAAGAAAGGCGCTCGTGTCAAGCCGTCTTGCAGCGTCGCGTCATACGGCTTTTTGCACCAAGTAACGAGATAAAATGGATTCCCCTTGAGACATGGAAGTTTGTTTTTTTAAGATGGTTGTTCAAAAAAGTGGTGGTGTGAGAGGACCTGCAGGGAACTGGAACACAAGTGCTGTGCACTTGATGCTGGCCACTGTGCACTTGTTGCTGGGTGTGGCTGGGTGCTTTGCATTTAGCTGCTGACTCAGAATGCAAATGAAACTGAGTTATGGCCAAGGACCTGGTTCCTTTTGTGTGCGCTATTTATAACATGCTAGCTAAAAACTGCTTAGCCACCAAGGTGGCTAGGCACCTTGGCCTTTTTTGGAAAACAAAACCGCCAATAGTGTTTTTTTAACATGATACTGACTTCATGCGATCTCTACCCATTTTAGGGCCCCACCGACCAATGCAAAGCAATAAGTGTGTTATGGCCACAAACTCACTCCCAAAAGGCGGCCTGTCATCCAAACCCAAACCTGCACAATACACCATGTGCCCTACAAACCTGTTCTGTTTGTTTGTTTTGTTTGTTTCGTTTTGACAACTGCGAGAGGACCAACACAAAAACCTAACTGCATTATTAAAACTATATGCGCGCGAAGTGAGAGGTCCTTCTTAAAACCAAAACGTGGCTCACTTAGTCACAGTACTCCATTCACCTGGATTGCAAATTACACGAGGCATCCATGTCAAGAAGAAATACGCCTTCACCTCATCAGGTCCGGGTCCAGGTTGTAACTTGTGGCTATCATGGCTTTCAGAACCAAGCATCCCAGGTTGGATGGAATGGCATCTACATGTTTAGTGAAGAAAAACTACAAAACTGTTGGCTGGAGTCTTTGTAAAAATTGCTGGCTTCTTAAAGTTGAGAGTGAAATTAAACAAATCGAAGCACACTGACTTCAATTGCATATGGCTGGGACGCTCTTTTTGACACCACGCGCATTCGATATCCAGATAGCTACAAAATTGAAATCTTGCGGCCCACATTGGAGTCATGTTCCAGTCTCCTTTTTCTCTTTCTGTTCCTTCTCTTTCTCATTCTCTTGCAACTGGGTGAGTCTTTCCTTCATTTCTTTTGCTTCTGCCCTTCTTTTGGCTTTCCTCTTTTTTT